TTAATTTTTTTTTTTTTCAACGTTTATTTATTTTTGGGGGGACAGAGAGAGACAGAGCATGAACAGGGGAGGGGCAGAGAGAGAGGGAGACACAGAATCGGAAACAGGCTCCAGGCTCCGAGCCATCCGCCCAGAGCCCGACGCGGGGCTCGAACTCACGGACCACGAGATCGTGACCTGGCTGAAGTCGGACGCTTAACCGACTGCGCCACCCAGGCGCCCCAAATTTTAGGATTTTTAAAACACTGTCACAGGGGATCTAATTTTATTTAATGAGTATGTAATTTATGGATTCAGATATTTTAAGATGAGGGCAAAACATAAGGAAAATGAAGATAAATGATTGATTGATTAGAAAAACATAACCAGTCTATAACCAGTCTTTTCTCGATTGTCTTCACATCTCGAATTGGGCACCCAGTTAAATGAGTTGGCTGGGCCTCCAGTGAGAATCAAGGGTAGGAAGATACTTTCTAGAAAAAGTGGCAGGGTGTCCCAGAACTGTAATAGAAACAGTAGAACTCTACTTTCATGTTTTTTTTTTTTTAATTCTAATAAGCAACTATATTTATATATAGTTTCTGAAATTTCAGCATTTATCAGTATTTTTTATTGTGCTTAAAATAAATTATTTAAACCTATTTATAATTGATATTTTGTATGAGAGGAAGCATCTCTGCTAGTATTCACATTTATATCCAGATATGGTTAGGTTTAGACAGTAATGTAGACAATTTTTTGTCATTATCTTCATTTTATTTTATTTTTAATTTTTTAATGTTATTTATTTTTGAGAGAGAGAGAGGGCAAGCAGGGGAGGAGCAGAGAGAGAGGGAAACACAGAATCCTAAGCAGGCTTCAGGCTCCGAGCTGTCAGCACAGAGCCCAACATGGGGCTTGAACTCACAAACCACGAGATCATGACCTGAGCTGAAGTTTGACACTCAACTGACTTGAGTCACCCGGGCACCCCTCAGTGTCTTCATTTTAAAATGCTGTCTTCATAGCTTGTTGGAAATAAAATCAGAACTTTTTTATTATGTGGCAACACATAAATAACTGCATTGTTACAGGTGAACTTTGCTTTTAAAGGTCAAGTAGGGTTTTATCCACCTTTACAAAGTTTACTTTTACTCAATTGTAAAATAGGGTTTTAGCTGAATATTCATGAAATCACTCTTATCTACTATATCTATATCTTTAACTTTCATTAGTCATAAGTTTTCATACTTTTTCTGGTCTTGGGTCATTTAAATACGTCATGGCTTTTCTAGATTATTAATATTCTGGCAAATATTCCAAGAATATGTTTTGCCAATAATTTGATAGCATTGTGAAGGCTTTTTAGTTTCTCTTACTGACTGCTCTTTCCTGGGTATTCTTACGCTCACAGCCTGTGTGTGTATCTGCAAGCAGGACATGCATATTAAAAGTTGTCAGTGATTATTCTTGCATTATGCATTGTGAGTCCCTCATAAAAAATATTCTCACAAAACCCCTTTGCTCTAATGGTGCTGTGAACTGGAGTAGTATATGTTTCCCACCAGAGGGAGTCTTGCTTATGATTCTGAACTGCACTTTTTTTTTTTTTTTTAATACTTACAGAGAACAAGCAGTTTTTCTTATTTTAAAGATAGGAGTTAGGGGCGCCTGGGTGGCGCAGTCGGTTAAGCATCCGACTTCAGCCAGGTCATGATCTCGCGGTCCGTGAGTTCGAGCCCCGCGTCGGGCTCTGGGCTGATGGCTCAGAGCCTGGAGCCTGTTTCCGATTCTGTGTCTCTCTCTCTGCCCCTCGCCCGTTCATGCTCTGTCTCTCTCTGTCCCAAAAATAAATAAACGTTGAAAAAAAATTAAAAAAAAAAAAAAAGATAGGAGTTACTATTTTCATCAGTATGTTGAAAGCAAATCACACCACTGGGTTGCAGCTGAGTCTCAATCAGTGCAGCCTTTGACAATTGGTTTTGAGTCTTAGTTGAATCTAGATGGTAGAGGTAAACTAATGAAGGGAAAGATTTTTCTTCACTTTATGGCATCTCATTATCTTCAATTTTCTTGACAACCCTGATAAAATGATGGATTGGAGGCTCAACCTTGATGATATCTGATGGGCTCTTCACCCCTGAGGCCCTGCTTGCTGCTGTCTTCTCTGGCTCACGTTTCTTAGTAAAAGTGTTCTTGTTTGTTGTCTTTAGTGTACTTAAGCCATGATTTCCTTTTGGAGTTTTTTTCATTTGTTACTACATAATCAAATTATTTTAAGAGTAAGCAGGAGAATTTGTTGCAAATTAAAAAAAATTTTTTTTTAATGTTTATTTATTTTGAGAGAGAGACTGAGAGTGAGCAGCAGAGGGACAGAGAGAGAGGGAGACATAGAATCCAAAACAGGCTACAGGCTCTGAGCTGTTAGCACAGAGCTCAATGTGGGGCTCGAACCCACGAACTGTGAGATCATGACCTGAGCAGAAGTCGGATGCTTAACTGACAGAGCCACCCAGGTGCCCCTGTTGCAAACTGTTAATTAAAGGCTTGCACAAGTTGCACTTAAGGGTTTTTGGTGCTGTCTTTGGGAAGGAATGGTAACATAGCACAATGTATCACAACATATTATAGCATAGTTTTTTAAAATGTGAGTTTTTGGAGCACCTGGCTGGCTCAGTTGAGTGTCTAACTCTTGATTTCAGCTCAGGTCATGATCCCAGTGTCATGGGATTGATCCCCATGTCAGGTTCCACACTGAACCTGGATTCTCTTTCTCCCTGTGCCACTCTACCCTGCTCGTGCTCGCTCTCGCTCTCTCTCTCTCTCTCTCTCCCTCTCCCCCTCCCCCTCTATCTGTAAAATAAAAAAGTAAAAATAAATAAAAATGTGAGTTTTTGAAGATGACTTCAAAACTGAAGGGAGGATCTACTTGAGGATCGGCAGTAATCAGTACAGGAAAAAAATGGGCAATGTGTTGTGGAAGACAAAGCTAAATGGTTTGTAATTCTGCTCTCAGATGTGCTATGCCTAATACAGGAAAAGCATGCCTTCTGGCTTTCCTAGGCCATTTTCCAAGCAAGGCATGTTTTTGTTGGTAATTTAAGCAAGTGGAATCATATGCTGAAGTTCTGAATCCTCATATTTAATAATATACTTAATATATTATTAATGCTAAGTATTATCTTCTTGGTGTTTTGACTTATTCCTGCAGATTTTCATAAATGGAAAACTTATTTTAAAGAATAAAGTTGTCTTAATGATAATGGTGGATTGTTTTTATTTTTCTATCTTTTATTTTTAGGTGCAGTTTTCTTGGTTATTTTTTGCAGGCGCGATCCCTGTATTTTTTTCATTTTTTATTGTAACTCTCCTCTGCCATTATAATAATTGGGATCCTGTGATGGTGGGAATCAGAAGAATTTTTGCCTTTATATGCAGAAAACATCGTATTCAGAGGTATATTTGGTTCCAGTATAAGTTTTTAAAAATATAATCCTTGCTAATTAAACTGGAAATCATATCGTGCTGGACTAATTTGTAGACACTTTGGGAAGAATTACTGAAAGATTATAATTTTATATGTACTATGCCACATAAAATTAAAATAAGTTGTTTAGATCCTTTGTGTGGTAAGATAGTTTCTTCACAACTACTTTAAAAAATGTTTTGATTTATAGGTAAAACCAAAGTGCTTACTGTTTTGCTGTGATGAATTTAAATGTAGAAAACTTTCATTGGTGTGAACAAAATTTAAATAAAATATGATAACACTGCTTCAAATATCTTTCTTTTTTAAGAGAGAAAGATTTTTACATCCTACTATAAAAAGAACTTGGGGCATGTTGTTGGGAAGTCTTGCCTTAGTCTTAGTGTTGACCTCACAGCTTCAGCCAGTAGAATAGATAATTTTTAAGAGCTCCTTTCCATTCAAAAGCTTTCCTTAACTATTGCCTTAAAAACATTTTTTTTAAGGGTTCCAGAAGACAGTGAACAGTGCGAGAGTCTCATTCCTATGCACGGTGTTTCTCAGGAGGACGGAGCTAGTTAGCTGTTGTCTGTAGTCCAGGTTTGTATGTTAGCTAGTATTAGTGCTGAATAAGGTTCTTTATTCCTGTAATCTCACATACTGTCTAGAGGGTAAGGGAGTCAAGCTCTGGACTCATACTGCCTGGGTTCCAATTCTAGCTTCTCTGTGCACTAGCTGTGTGACCTTATACAAGGTTCTTCACCTGTCTGTGCCTCAGTTTTCTTATTTGTGAAGTGGGGTTGTGGTAGTCCCTCCTCTCTCATAAGATTACTGGGAATATTAAATACTTGGTAAGATTTAAAGTGTGCAATAGTGCCTGACTCAAATTAAGTGATCCCAAGTTCAACTATTACTTTTATTCACGCTAAGGATCATAATTTTATTTAATAATACACTTTAGAAAAATGTTTTTCCTCTAGTATAAAAGTAAGAAAAAATATATCAATTTGGTGTATATCCAGTCTTTTCTCTGTATGTCTGTGTGTGTTTTCCACAACTGGCATAGTGTATATCCTGATTCTCTGACTATGCTTTTTCAATTAATGTTTCAAGAATATTTCCCCATTTTTAAAAAATTGTAAAAAATACTATCTTTTATATTTCTGACAAGACAGACGAGTACATGGTGTTTTTATCTTTCGCTGCATCAATGCTTGAAATACATCTAACATATATTTTTGGCAGCTATAAAAGTAGTTATGTACTTATTTAGAATGAGAAATCACAGTAAATTACTGAAATTCTGCAGATTCAGGTCCCTTTCTTCTAAGATAACCTGAGGCAGTTTATATTGAAATGTTTCCTGACTCAGCTGGGCTTCCCCTCCTCACTTAGAACATTTAACAACTCCTGTCAACTCCTTGCACTCAAATTGGCCTTTGAAGGTTAAGTGTCATCCTCTTTGTGGCAGATTCACCTCTAACCTAGGACTAAGTGTCTTGGTCTTGTGTTTTCCTTTGGTCATTTTGTATTCCAGCTTTTACTGTTACGATGGTCACCCATGCACATAGTTGAGAGAGTTCGAGTTCTAGTTCTACGAGATTGCTCATACAGAGCGGCTGCCGCCTGCCCTGCCCACCTGCTTCTGCTCTCGTCCCACTCCAAGAAGTCAACGTTAAACTCGTCAGTTGTTTTGACCCCCCTCTTCCCCCCCCTCCCCCCACCCCACCTCACACACTGTCTTCAAGTACCACACTTATACTTCTGTTTCTTGATTTCTCTGTTTTAGGCATCTTCAGTTGATGTTCCCACTTTGGTAGATGAGGATAGATTACATTCAAGTTTCATCCTCCTCTCTCCCCACCCCACTTGCCTGCTTTTCCACCACCTCCTCATCCCAGTGTATTTATTGTATAATTATGGATAGATTTGTAAGCAGTGTTTGCATGGTCATGGTGATGTAAATGTTACTTTTACCTGAGTCGTGGTGGATTGTGCTTGGCATTTCCACAGTCCAGAGACCCTTTGTTACACTTTTAGAGAATGCACCTCACATTTTCTCTGGGGATAGAGAAAGGGCACTTGACCAGCTGTAAAAAGTAAGGCAGGACATTTGAATGTCTAACTGCTTTTTCTATAAACCGTGCCAGTCTTTCTGTTTTAGCTGTTTCTTCACTCCTCCTTTTAGAGATACCTGCTTCCCTGTTGTTTTCTAGTCTCTGCTCTTCCCTTTGTCCATGTGACAAAAATCCCTTTATTTTCTTTTTACTGAGGTTTTGGCAGCAAAGTAGAACCAAATATGTTTACTTACCATCTTTAAATTTTAAAAAGTACATATAGTTATTTTTTAAAGCTTTGTAGTGCTGTAACGTATGCACTCTCTCCCTACTGTGTGTGCATTATTCCCATGGTCACACTCATGCCCCCCCCCCCCCCCCCCCAGCAAGGACTCAGTAAATTTGGGAGTGAGAACTGGATAAGAGGAGATAGTGAACTCGGCAGAGTGTAAAGGAAAGGTGTGGCAGGAGTCTTTGTTGCATCGGGGTAATGGTGGGTATGCCATGAGTCAAACTGTCACCACATGATCTGTAAGCAGTGTTGGCCTTAGACACTGCTGTGGAACTCACTCCCATGCACTTTTAGTGCTCACCTCCGGTTCCAGTATCCAGTTGTTAAGTGTAATAAACTGTGTTTGTTATATATTTCAATGTTAAGATAATTTGCTTTTTACAGTATAAACTGTAAAAATTAAAGCTATGACAGTTATAATCTAATGATGATTTTGTGTTTGTTTGTTTTTATTTTTAGCTTGATAATGGAACATTATGCAGCGAAGAGACAATCCCTGGCAAGTTTTTGTAGAAAATGTTTCAGTGCCTAGTCTGAAAAATAACAGTTTCAGTTCTTTGGAACTCTAAAATATATTTTCCTCATACCTGTTTTCTTCATTTCATAATGAAGTACTTTGCTATGTAGCTGTGTACATATCACCACAGTTATAGGAAGTTCCAGTCCACAGTCCCGCTAAAAGACCAACCTGCCTTACACATCTCAAGGAATTCAGCTGATGAAATAATTTGAACTAATCAAGGAATAAAATTCTGATGTTCTGGAGACTTTATTTTCACATTATTTGTTAAACACTGGGCTATATTATGAAAATGTTTTCAAGAAATCATTTAAGTATATAGATCAGTGTTTCTTACAGATGAAATGATAAAATAAGCTGCCTATAATAGGTATGGACTATACTTTTAAGTTTCGTAGAATATTGCAAATTAACAACACAGAAAAATGTTTAATTTTATGCAAGTGTGTCCATGCAAATTTAGTGGGACTTTAAAGAGAATCAATCTCTGAGAAAAATCTGGTTCACTCACACTACATATGCTGTATTACCCTTTCATAGCATTAGGTGCCTTGTATTTTAAATCTGTGACAAACTATGACAAATTTTTAAAGGGGAAGTATTATTGTAAAATGAAGAATTATGTATTTCTAAAGGCTATATTGCTGTAAATTTAATTGATAAAGCTCTGCTTAATTTAGAGTTTTGAAGAAATATTCTCTCTTCAATTAAGACATTTTCATAATGGAATGATTTAAATTGAAGTGATGAAGAGTATTATTGAAATAAAATGTTTATATATATGTATTTGTGTGCTACAGATCTATGAATTGGTTTCTGATTTTTTTTCATATATGTGCCAAATTACTCTAGAACTGGATGTCTCTTAAATAATTCTAGTTTTCCGAAATAAATGTTTAATGGTTAAATATTTTACCTTGTTTGTTAAGAAGGTAAAAAAAAAATACTTTAAAAATTCCATTTGAATTTTTCCTCTACCAAGCTTAAGTTAAATATAAAATACTCCTAATTACAACTCTTAAATTTGAGTTTTATATGTACTTACTTTGCAACTGCCCCTGTTCACTGCAGACGTCAGTGAATGAACAGGTGTCTCAGGATTCATCTAGACTTTTGATGAATCACCCATTTCCTTTTCAAGTTTTGTGAAAATAGTTCATTTCTCTTCAAAATTTCCTAACAGATCTGATTTTTAAAAATCTCTTTGCAGTGTTTGGCTTCAGTTTGTGTTATTCACACTTTTAAAGTTGTTTTGCTGTTACCATAAGTCTAAAATGGAGTTTAACCATCTTTTTGCTTGTCCTGAGATCTTTTATATTAGCTTAAAAGATTGTTTATGATGTTAAATTTAAAAAAACAAACAGTTGTTCTCCTATTTAGTGCCACCAATAATTCTTGTAAAGCTAAAAGTAGTATTGATTTTGTTACTGTGACCCAGGGTAAAGGCATTGTAAAGAATATGGACCTATAATGAATTTTTGAAAAAAATATTTATTTAGTTTTGGGAGAGTGCAAGTGGGGGAGGGTAGAGAGAGGGGGACAGAGGATCCTAAGTGGGCTTTGCGCTGACAGGCTGACAAGCAGCGAGTCTGATGTAGGCTCAAACTCATGAACTGCGAGATCGTGTCCTGAGATGGCCGAAGGTGGACACTCAACCAACTGAGCCACCCAGGTGCCCCTGCCTCTTTTTTTTAAGTAGGCTCCATGCCCAACATGGGGCTTGAACTCATGACCCTGACATCAAGAGTTGGATGCTTTACCGACCGAGCCAGCCAGGCTAAGGAATTTTTTCTTAAAAAGAAATTAATGAAGTAACATTTCAATAGCTCAAGCTTCAGCTGAGGTTTATTTATCTAGATACCTTTACTTTCTGTTTTTTTCTGTTTTGTCACCAATACCTTCAACAATTACAGGGTAAAATCGTTGAAACAGTGAAGGCAGAATTCAAAATTTAAATTATTCTGTAAAAATGGTAGGAAATGAGGTTGAACTTAAAATTTTTTGGGTTTTCTTATGCTCTGTGTTCACATGTCTTACAGATCATGTGTTGTCACTCAAGGACTCAGTAATAAGCCTTAGTTAGCATGCTGGTTAGACTTCTTCCACTAGGCTACTATGTTTTGTTTTTTGTTTTGTTTTTTGTATTCTTAATTTAAGAACAACCTCTTTAGAAGGAAGCATCATTAAATCAGTTAACTGAAAGTACAAATTATTGCTGCTTCACTCATCTACCTATTACCTTTTCTCTCAGGTGTTGTCTGAATGATTTTTTTGTTTGAATACTGCAGCCACAAAGAGTGAGCAGTTGGGGACTTCCTTTCTGCACCTTTGTAGTCAAGGGTTCATCTGCTCAAAAAATAAAGTTGTGGTTTACTTCCATTCTGTGATTTCCCAGACATGTAGGCCCAAGGCCCTCAGATTGCAGCAGCCTAATTGCAGGCCTCTGCAAATGTTGGCAGGGTTACATTCTAGTAACTGCTCCTGTTCTCCCTCTGTTAGAGCAGTACTGGTCCACAGTTCTGTTTTTCTGAATCCAAAGACCACATGGAGCAGGGGCGCCTGGATGGCTCAGTCGGTTGAGTGTGTGACTCTTGATTTCAGCTCAAGTTGTTATCTCAACGTTTGTGGGATTGAGCCCCTCGTCCCCAGCTCTGCACTGACTGTGGAACCTCCTTGGGATTCATTCCCTCTCTCCCTTCTCTCTCTCTCTCTCTCTCTCTCTCTCTCTGTCTTTCTCTCTCCCCCGCTCTGCCCCTTCCCTGCTCACACGCTCTCTCTCTAAAATAAGAAAAAGTAAAAGACAAAATAGGGATTTCTGATTCCTTCTTTCAGTCTTGGACTTTTCTTCCTATATGTAATTTAAATCCCACTCTTAAATGTTTCAAATTATGACCTTATGTTTGATGAACATCAGACTCTGAATTGAAACAAAACTGAAAAATGAAGCAGCCATACAAGTGCTTCGATGAATGCTTGTTGGAGCTCATAGAAGCCATTAGCTGTAGGTGATACACCTATACTTTAAATAAATTTTGAATTTTTAAGAAGTTGATATATTGGCTTCTATCAGCCTGGCTTAGTTAATTCCTTACATTAAACTGATTTTCCTCTGGTAGCTGATGAATAAAGTTTATTGTTTCTATAGAAGTGAACTCACAAGGTTAAATGTTAATGTTCTCAAAGGAATACTGCCTTGTTGCAGGAAGAATGCTAATATCACATTATGGTCGTTCATGCAGAGCTGATTTGTGGTTGCAAGGTATTACTTCTCTGGAAGCTAAGGGTTTTCGGATGTCAGTGTGGTAAGGTATGTGAGCACTAATCTTCAGTGTGCTGGTTGAAGAAACAAAGTATCTGGAAAGAAGAATAAAGTAGTAATTAATTAGAAAATATTTTTTTCTAGAATCATATTAGCAAATAAATGAAATGTTATTTTTATTTTAAGCAATTCTAGTTGTTATAATTCTTCATTTCTCCCTACTTTCCTTTTGAAATATTCTTTATTACTGAATAATATTTTAGGAAGAATTCACAGAAATAATTAGTATTTGTGACATCTGCAGATTTAATTTCTATTTTGTAATGGTGATGTGACTAATACGAGATTTTCAGTTTACAGAATTTGAAGTTAGGGTTCTATTTTAATATTTCATGTACCAAAAGTTTCATTTAGATAAATTGAGATATACTTTTTGCATAGACTTGCAATTTTTAGACTTCCCCCCCATTTCCTTATTTTAATATTATCAGCTTTATTGGTGTACACAAATTTTGTTTTGTAGTTCATGTACTGTATTTACACAGGTAATCTCCCTTTAAATCTTAATAAACTGGGGACACAGATGAGTTCATTATAAATTAGAAGCAAATAATGACTTGGGAATTCACTGTTACATTGACATGAAGCTTTTCTGTTTTGCTGTCAGACATAATGATTGCATGATAATTGAAATGTTTATTTTAACTTTAACTCTTATTTAGATTACCTTATTTTCATTCTGATTTTTGGTTATCTAGAAAAATTGTGGTTTATATATTTTAAAAACTAAGCACCACTTTAATGTCATTGCATTTAAAACAATGTTTTCTGGTAAAATTTTTCATGTGCAACATACGTTATTAGAATCTCAACAATGAAATCATTGACATATATTTAAGGAAAAGTTACGTGGGGAAACTAGTACTCTGGTTAGGCATATTTGCTAAAATGCTAAAAATATCTAATGAGAACATTTTGAGTTTTCAGTAAGATGAATGTGAATTTATTTTTGAGTTGGGAATTTGCAGTGGGGAAGTACTCAGATGAAGACATTTCCTTCATGATATTTCAAAGTTGGAAAAGAAATATTTCCTATTTGGAACTTTTAAAGTGAAACTTTTAACAAGGAATATCATGAACTTTTTAGTTTTTAATTTTACATATTGTTTCATTCTTAAGAGTTACTTTTATTAACTTTAACTTAGATCCTATATTCTAAGCCTTCAGTATTTCTTTACTTGGTTTCTCTCTCTCTCTCTCTCTTATTTTTTTTAAGTGTTTATTTATTTTGAGAGAGAGAGTACACTAGCAGGGGAGTGGCAGAGAGAGAGAGAGAGAGAGAGAGAGAGAGAGAGGAAGAGAGAGAATCCCAAGCAGACTCCACACTGTCAGTGCAGAGCCCGATGGGGGCTCAGTCTCACAAATTGTGAGATCCTGACCTGAACCAAGATCAAGAGTTGGACACTTAACCAACTGAGCCATCCAGGCACCCCTTTACTTGGCTTTTCTGTAATTAGTTTTAATGAGAGCAAGTAATTAAATAAGATCAGTCAGGCAAGAGTACTTATTATTAATTTCAGCGGGTCCTTGAAAGGCAGGCAGATTTGTTTCAAGAGTCTTACTTTTTGACACAAGGTCAAAACAGTTCTTTAGAATCTTACTACCAGTATTTGCTTATTTGGAATAGCTTTCACATTTTTTTCTTAGGAAAAAAATCAGTGTCAGTTAAACCAGGTAACATCAAAACGGAATTTTGGTGAAGGCTATCCTTGTCTTACTTTGGTATAAAGTATAGTAATACATTTTGTGTGTGGTAGCTTAGTGTAAGATTATACTTTAATATACATTCTCCA